CGTGTTGCTTTACTTGTGCATAACGATTTCATTTTTTTTGATCTCAAAATAAAGATAATCATAGTAAGATAACCAAGGCAGATAATAATAATTGTTATTAAATTGGTAAATCTACTGAGTTTAATTCATTTTCTTTTTATTGTTCAATTTAACGAACATTTATTTGATCTAGAAAAAAAATATATATATATATATATATATATACATATATATTTATTCACTATTATCCGAAATTAGCTTCATTTCCATAAGAAAGACTTCTTTCAATAGGTCTTCGAAAGCAACAAATTAATATGATATAAACAAACTTAATATAGAAAGAAGAACATGATCGATTGTTTTCTGTCAAGCTTATCAAATTCTTTACGTCATTGAATATATATATATATATAACGGTCACGATAACACCTTCTATATCACATTTTTTTACCAATTAAACTAATTCACAACTATTTATATAAAAAAAAATATCAATTAACAAATCGAAACCAAATACATTATATTTATGATCATCTTTTGTAAGATGACAATTGAGTCTTGATTAATTAATTAAATAGGAGATTAAATCAATATGAGGTCAGTTAATTCAATAGGAAAAACTGCATATCAACATGGTGTTTAGAGTGTAGATATGGTCTTAGCTTGGATTGCATGTCATATTCACATTGGTCAATTAATGAATCTATTAAACATTTTCAAATGGAACAACACGCGAACTTGATTATGAATGAATAATTGCAAATTGAATTTTTAAAAGTAAAAAATCTAATTAAATATGAACTTCTTCATGAAAAAAAAAACGTCAATTATTTATTGCGACTTTTTATTTCATAACAAGATACTTATTACTTTTATCACAAAGAGATCTCTTCACTTTTTTATGTCAATCTCGAACTATTCAAATAAAACAATTTTCTTCTATTTCTTTCTTTATGTCAAACTCAAGTGTCTCGAGTTCAACTGTCGAGAGGATCATATATCGATCATCTAATTGGTCAAATAATTCTAGGGTAATACCAATTATAATAACGTTTCATCTTATACTATTAATATACAGTATAAAAACAAGGACAAGACTATTTCATTTATTTGATAAAGATAAAGATTAGATTTATATTTACTATTATTATTATTTATTTATCATTAATCGATAATTGACTGCTTTTTTCAGAACAATAATCAATCTAGAAATCATCAAATCATTTACGTTTCAGTAATAGATCTTTTTATATTAATAGACTTCGATTTTAAACATAATTTAAAAACAAATTCGATTTATTTATTCTGTTTGATATAATGATCTACATATTTAATATATTTTTAAAAGATGATTCATTTAAGCTTCATTTGACTTCATACACAAAAGGAAATGGTGTCTCGAAAATGATCGCACTGTAATATATTGTTAATCATTGTGATGATGTCTGTTTTTGACACTTTTCATTTAAACAGATATGACAGGCATATTAAAAGTCAATTCAGTACACTACTCTTTTTATTCGACTATTTCAATTGAAAGATATTATTCAAAGTAACATATTATTGATCATTATTCTAATAATCCATCATATCAAGATCAATTGTAGCTTCCTAATAGCGAACAAAAATTAAGCCAATTCACGGATTAGCGATCGCAATTTGGAACAGAATTAACGTTGATCTCTTTTTTTTTCGTTTCCAAAGTGCGATCACTTTTTTCTTATTGAGTAATTAACAGTGTTAATTGGAAAAAATATTTATTGAGAACATAAATAAATAACAAAAAAATTATTCCTCATCACTATTATCTTTTGAATCTTTAATAATGTGGATATAACGATAAGAAATAGTTCGAAAAATTTCTTGGTAAACATCAAAATCTTTATCTTTTATATATTTCTCTTTTGCTGACATAAGTTTATTATCATCTTGTACATATTTTCCTTTTTCTTGGTCTTATTGTTCTTTTTTCTTGTTCATAACGACACATAATAGATTCTTCAGATGATTTCACTTCATTAATCTACATCCACAGATCAGGATTTGTTCTAACCCTGGCATTTAATTATTGATGATAACTTTCCAGGTGATTGTTTGCACGTGGTCTTTCACCAAAAGTATCAAAATGATTCCACATTTGTATAGAAAATCGAGCATCTTCAACGTAATTTTTTATGACATAATCAGTTTATTTATCTAATTTTGAATCATAATTACATAGTTCATGAATAATCTTTTCCATCCAATTATTAACTTCCCTCAGAGATATTAAAGGTAATACAATAATATTAGTTATTTATTCCTACGACACATATATATTAATATCCTCAAAAGAAGAGAACTCATAATTGAATCTTTCAATCACTGATTAATCAAAGTTGTTGCAATTTGGAACAAGAAAAAAAAGAGATCAACGTTAACTCTCGGTTCTAAATTGCGATCACTGATGTGTTAATTGACTCAATTTTTGCTCGCAATTAGGACATAGCCCGATCAATTCAATTTGAGAATAAGTAGAAAAGATAAAATACAACTGAATTTATGCATTTAATAGAACTTTTATGGGGCTATAATTCCATATATGAATCAGTAATTAATTGTTTTATCTAATGGGACCATACGTCCGATCCTACCATATTTATCTTCCATTCTTATCTTTCAAAAAATTTTGATATTGATCATTTGATAGCCTATTTAAAAAAGTACAATATCATATATTTTTGATAAGTGAAAAAAATTTTGTCGCTCGAAAAGTTCCTTAGTATACAAGTCTCCAAGCTCAATTTTGTGTCTTTTTGGACAATATCTAGAAGATTTCGATAAGTAAAAGTTGAATTCGAGTGAAAACTAATATGATAGTCGCAATCAGCATCAAAATCTGATTTGATCTAGATGTAACTGAAAGAACTTCTGAAATTTTTCTTTTTCATCGAAAATTTACCCATGGTTCTCGCTCAGGGATCAGATGAAAGATGAACTCTTTGAAAGCCCTGATTTTATCGTCTAGATATCGTTCATTTTACCATCTTATAACTTTAAACAAAAAAATTCGACGTTTCTCTGTAATGTCCAAATGATGTTTTCATGGACATTATTTTCGTCTGATCCCTGAGAAGGAACCATAGGTAAATTTTTCGACGAAAACAATTTCCAGAGACTTTTTAAATTACACTTAGACTAGTCCAGTTTTTAATATTGATGCCGAATATCATATTAGTTTTCACCCAAATTGAACTTTTTCTTATCGTAATCTTCTCAATATTGACTGAAAAGACACAAAATTGAGCTTGGAGACTGATGGGTGTGGGTGTCGCTGTTCACTAAAGTCTCTCTCGAAGCTAACCCGCACCCACACCCACACACTCACACTCACAACCACACCCTGATTTCAAACAACTCGAATGGCTGAAAATATTAGTATAGTTTTCTTCCATTCCTTGCGGTTGGACGTTAACCGATAACCTTTGGTTTTTATCTTTAGTCCTTGACTCGGAAACAGGCAAACACTGGACTTGTCGGAATGGATGGGAATGGCTGCGAATGGATGGGAATGGATCGGAATGTCCGAATGTCTTTCCCCCTTGCCATGTCCATTTTCGATATTCATTTCCAATAATGCATAATCACTAACAATGCTATACCAATTAATACCGGAGCAATTCCATAAACCATGTTGAATAACGACGTTGATTGTTGTTAAGTAATTCTTCTATATCACCTAATTTTTCACGAAGTAATTTAATTTCAGTTTCGAGCGATGCAATTTTGAGTTGATATGGAATCTTTTCTTGCGCGTGTTTTTGGACGACCTCTTGAAGTAATTGTGAGGCAGTTTTCTTGACTTCCATATTCTAAAAAAAAGCAACCAAATTACGTTTGGATAAGAAATTCTGTTTCTTACTAATCTACAAATAAACATGTGTGTATGTAAATCATAATTATGCTCTCGGCCGGATCTGTAAATACGAAAGTTCGACTCCACGCCAATTGTCCATAGACAACTTAGCTCAGCGTGCATCCATTTGTGCGTCACTACTTACCCGATAGAAGCATGTACCGTTTTTAGAACGAATTGTTACTGGAGATGAAAAATGGGTGTGATATGTCAACGTCTGCCGTAGAAGGCAGTGGCTTGATCCTGATGAAGAACCATTACCGGATGTAAAACCTGACTTGCATCTACAGAAGATAATGTTGTGGATTTGGTAGGATATGAGCGGTGTCATCTATTTCGAGTTATTAGATATCAATCAAACGATTACCGCCAATGTCTACTCTCAGCAATTGTAGCGATTGAATGAAGTTCTACTTCAAAAGCGACCGGCTTTGGCGAAACAAAAAGACGTCATCCTTCTCCATGACAACAGTCGACCTCATGTGGCAAAGTTGGCTCAGCAAAAAACTGAACAGTTAGGATGGGAAGTTCTTCCGCACCCGGCGTGGTCACCAGATCTTGCACCATCCGATTATCATCTATTCCTATCTCTTCAAAACTATCTGTGCAATAGTCACTATGAAGACTTCGATGAGCTAAAATTCGACCTAACTGCCTTTTTCGAATCAAAACCGGCTAGTTTCTACAGATGTGGAATTGAACTATTGCCAGAAAGATGGGCGAAGGGTGTCGAAAACTATGGCGATTATATTGTTGATTGATGTTTGCATATCTTTATTGAAAAATAAGTTTGTTGTTGAACCAAAAACTAAAACGTGCAGAACTTATGTACCAACCGGATATAATTCAATAGGGTTGACCGAGAAAATAATTAGTGGATCAATTTGACTTTTTATACAGTCGTCTGTTTGATTTAGTATCGTAGATTAATTTCGAATAAAAAAGAATCGAATTGATTTTTAATTTGAAAAAGAATAGTTTTAATATTTGAAAAGAGGAGAGAAATTTTGATGAATGATATATATATATAATAAAGAAAAATTGATTAACATGATCGTTGTGAATATATATTTGACAAAAAAAAAGAAAAAGAAAACAATAATAATATAACTAATATGAAAATGATTTAATCATCATAATTATCATCATCAGTTCTTGATGCTTCCATTTTTTTTCGTAAAACTTCTTTTGATAATTCTTGTGTTTGTGCCCAATCATTTTCTTCTAATTGTTGTAATTCTTCACGAGCCTAATTATTAAATATTTAGAGAAAAAAAAATTTTTATTTAATAAATAAATCTACTTGTTCAAATAGAATTTCTTGTTGTCGTCGTAATTCTTCTTGAGTATAAATTGATGCTGGTTTTCCATGAAGTTTTTTTCGTTTTTGTGCCATTTCTTCTTGTGCTGTTTCCATTGCATTTAAACAATTTGCTTTATATGAATTAAAACCCAAATTATCCAAAGCTAAATAAATTAAAATTTTTATTTAAAAAAAAAGAAAATTTAAATAAAAATTCTAACCAGTAACAATATGATCAGGATGAATAAGTTTTTTTGCTTGTTGTTCACAAACAGTATTTGCTTGTAAAGCTAATGTATGAATAAATTCATTACAACATTGTACAAAAAATTCTTTGGCTTCGCCTGATACACGAATTTGTCGTGTACAATCTTTTATCATTTTATATACAGCAGCTCGCGGAACACATTTATCATCTTCTTCACTAGCACTACCACCATTATTTGGAGAACACATCATCTAAAAAGATTTTTTTTTTCAAATTTAAATAGAATTATACAAAAATAATATTTCATTATTTTAGTATTCGATTTTATTTCAATTCAATTTGAATTTGTTAAATACAATTAAAAGATCAATTCAAATGTATTAACACATAAACAAATTACTATTTTCTTTTAACAAGAATAAATTCTATGTAAGTAGATATTCGATTAACTTTTTGGTTACCAACATAAAAAAGCAAAAATAATTTTAAAAAACATTCGTTATAGCTATTCATAGTGAAACTCTAGGGTGTGCTAGAACAAAATCAATCATATAAGACCTCCAGCTGCCTGACATTTATTTTTATGTGAATGTCTATACAAAATACATATATTATGAGCGATTGCGCTAGTTTCACACAATAATAAAGCTCGTGATGCATAGTTTCTATATTCCAGTATGTGGAACTTTATTTCATGAATATGAATAAAAGAAAAACACTAAACTATCCATCATAATAAATAATCTGTTAGTTTTCATCGTAGTTAAGAGCCCCTTCCCCTCAAAAATCGATCTCAGGCAAGGAACATCCGAATGACATGAAATCTTTTAGGACATGTTGGGGCTAGTGAACCATGGCTGTGGTAAAATTTTCAGCCCTGTACCATGACGTTTGACGGAGATATCAGCCAAACGAGCGTCAAAACATAGCTAATTTCGTCTTGAAAATTTTTCTGTAGTTTTCAGTCTATTCATTTGATATTTTTTTTTTGTTCTTCAAGACCATGTCAGAATGCAGTGCCTATGAGAATCTTTTTTCTTATACTCTTACTTTTTAAGGGAAAAAAGAGATCAGAAGTTCAATGACACTAAAAAAGTGGCGCTCTAATTATATATAAAGATTTATATATATAATAAAAGCAAAGCTTAATAAAAAAAAACTGGCTTTCATAGGCACTCCAGTTTTACATGCTCTTTCAAACAAAAAACGAAAACTATTGGTTACAATGAAGCTCCTTCGAGAATTCTTGGAGATGCGATCGAGAACCTATAAAACGAGAAAAATCGAAAAAGATTTTCTGCATTTATCTTAATTTGGATAATTTTGATGAAAAGTGACTTTTTTGATAAGGATCTCCTTAAACTTAATATATTTGTTTATCACATATAAAACAAAAGTGAGGATAGTTTTTATTAATGATTAATACATAACTATGTAATCACTAATGTATAAAAGTCATAGTTGCCGAAATGTTCGAGAGTCTGTTTTATAAACATCGAATGTAAATGATTTTTCTTAAGAGCATCGCCTTCCCCCCCTCCCTCCCCATTTCCCAAATTTCTCAGGAACGAATCGACTAAAAAATCTGAAGTTAAATAGATCACAACTAGTAGAGTAAAGCTTGTCATAGACTCAGAATTCCAGAATGCTTCCTTCTATGAAATATCGGGAACACAACAAGCCAAAATGACCTAAAGTTTTTCCCTCCACAAACAGTCATAATTGGTTTTTTTATGTGTAACAGGTGAAATCACATTAGGATGTAGACTGTTTTTCTTTGACAAATACTATTTTCTTCACTTGTAATAACTAAAATACTGAAAGCTCTGTCAAAAAACGTGTCTTTTTTTTGTCTACGGCAAATTTTGTAAGATGTGCCAAAAATCATGAGAAAATAACTTGTTGAAGTTGTTTAACACTTAAAGACAAGTTTTTCGATTCGAAAATGTCCTGATGAAATAGATACTAATTGAGATAATACATTTGGGTCATAAAAGGGAATGCACTGAGAAATCGACCAGAAAAAACACAATACAAATATTGTCAAATCGTTCGACGCAATCATTTTCGCAAATTAGAACAATCATATTATGAAAATATTTAACTTGAAATAACAATGCACAAACAAACGAAAAATGTAAATAAATAAGTTGACTAACTTACTGTTTGTTAAAGAAAAAAATCTAGTTTGATACCTGTTTAATTGTAATTAAATTCTAGAAGAAAAACTAAATTTAATATAAAAGAATAATATTTAATTTAAATAAAAAAAAATAAATATTAATATGAAATATTCTAAATAATGCGATGAAATAAAAATCTTCTAAAAGAAAATATAAAATAAAATTTTTTTTTTTTTTTTTTTTCTTAATCAAATTCTTCTGTTTGTTCATTTATCAATTAGTTTAACTTTTTAATAGATGAAAAACAAAACATAAAATAAAAAGAGAATAGGAATTTAAACTACAAAAACAAAAACAAAAACAGACACACAAAATTTTGTTAGTTTTTTCATATGATTATATTCAAACTCGGACGGATTATCAAAATATTTCCTTTAAAATTAATGATCAGTTTTCGATTGAAAATGTGAATAAGGAAATAAATGCATCCATAGAAGAGTTAATGGTGTACCAAATAAACATATTTTCCAATAAATTGAACGTCCTCGTTCAGTTAATATAAATGGTAATGTTGTTAATGTAAAAAAAAACCAAGAATATATTGTTTCTCTTAATGCTAATTCAAGTTCATATGGTTTATCTTTTATATCGGAACTAAATATTATTAATTCATTCTTTTTATTTTCATGAAAATCATAAAAATTTTTTAATAATCTAAAAATAATTAATAAATTAATTTAATATTTTATTTTATTTTATTTTATTTTTCACTTGTCTTTTAATTGAAACCTTTGATAAAGCCAATTTGATATTTGTTCATTTGTTTCACTTGGAATTTCATTTATTCCTATTCGTCTTATATCAATATGTAATTCATTTGTTCGACTTTGTAAATATTCTAAACAATTTTTTATATCAAACACATCTTATCATTAAATATCAAGAAAAATCATTTTAGAGATTCTTCAATTCATACAAACAATCTCAAGATAAAACATAAATCATTTCAAAACTAAACATCACGACAATAGCCAACGCTCAAATATTGAGGCAAAAAAACCAACTAATGTTCACATTCATCAAACCAACATCAAAAGACTATTCAACCACTAAACATAACACCAACAAATCATTATTCAATATGATCCAAAATATCTTAGATTTGCCTCTTGATAAAATACGCTCTTAACTAGAATCTCAACAAAATAATCATTTAGGAAATGAAGTCAAATGTAGTGCTAACTGACTAGAATCATTAGACATTTACCATAACTTTGTCTAATGCTTTTTTTCCTAACATTTAGTTGTTGAACTTTTTGGGTTAGAGTGGTCTACGATCTAACAAGTTTTTGCTTTTTATTTTTCTTGATATTTTTTTTTCCGAATGAGATCCAACAGACTCAGAATTTCAGGCTCTATCGATCGGTATATGTTCCAAGTGAATGAATGTATTTTAGTAATACCACTTAGCTTTCGAACAAATAGTTTGTAATATCTGATAGGCGAACTTACATTTTCGTTAGACTATTTATGTACTTCTTCGTACAATGTAGAGCACTACGATGACTTTTGATCAAGAAGGACTGAATTACATACGCCATATCTACTAAAATTTTCACCTGTTATTTAAATACTCTCTGTTAAAAGACAGAAGAAAAATTTTTCTTCAGTTTCTTTCTGTTGGATAGCAGACCTCTAAATAAGCCGCCCGGTCGGACGATTTTATCCTCTTTTGATATAACTTTTTCTGAGATTTGGCTCACCCTTGATGGGAAGGATAGGGGAAAGCTTCTCCCCGCTATCTCCTTCCCTTGCTCATTACTTTTTATAAAAGCCGAAAAATATGGAATAGCTGTCGGTTGAGAAAAAACATCTTTGTAAACGAAGTTTCTTTTGGGCCCGGGCGAGCCTAAACAATGTTCGAGCCACTTTGAACCGAACCGAGCCATAAAAAAGTGGTCCGATTTCGAGGCCTGTTAGATAGGCAGTCTTTGACGATAGTATTGAATAAATAGTCTCTTTCACTTTTAAAATTTCTCGAACGCTATAAGGTTTCACCTTCTGTGATGTCTTTCATTTAAGATTTCCTGTATAGAACAAGATTAGTTTTTCCGTACTAAATTTAATCTGAGATAGATTTATATAGAAAAAAAAGGTATTGAATGGTTTTAATATTACCAGCCATTGTTGGTGCAGCTAAACGAATTTTTTGATTGTAATCATAAGATTGATTATACATAATAGTTATATCATAAACAGCATCTAATTTATGTTTAAGTGCTTTAATAGCAGCTACAGTTGCACCTGTTCGAGGATAAAGAACATAATCAAATTGTGATAAACCTAATTTATTTTAAATTTAAAATAAAATATTTATTATTATTTTTTAAACCTTTTTGTTGTGAAAATTGTCGTGATCGTTGAATAGCATCTTGATTACAAATAGGATTAAATCGAGTACCTTCAGGAAAAATAACAAGCCAAACAGGTAAACCATTATATTGAATAAGACGTATTCCTTTTTCAACTCGATTAATATCTCCTTTATCATTTCGACGAACATAAATACAACCATGCTAAATAATATAAAAGATTTTTTTATTATTTATTATTTTGTTTTAATTTAACTTGTTGAAAATAAAATCCATAAAGTGGAATCCATTTTAAATCATTTTTAAGAATATATCGAATATGTCCAAGACTTCCTTGATGAACAGCTAACATATTTGCAATTATCCAATCAACTAAATATTTTTATTTTTAATTAAAAACAAAAATAAAAAGATTTATTTTACCAGAACTTTGATGATTTGATATGTATAAAACATTTTCTTTTTTTTTAAATATTTCTTCATAATCACCATGGAGATATATCTAAATTATTTCTTTTTTTTTCACTCAAAACAAATATATTCGAAATCAAGAATTTTTTATTCAATTTGAACCTTTTAGGATTGAACAATGTTCCTATATCGAATCAATGACATATTTGTTGCTTTAATACGAAACCTTTCTTCATTTGACAGATACTTAAGGAAAGATTTCCTAGATTCCGATAAACTTAGAAAAGTTTCCATTTTAGAAATTTCTTTTTTAGACTTTAGTTGATTTTGCTGAACTTTTGAAACGATTCATAAAGATTCTTTTGCTAATCTTGCTTAGTAAAATAGCTTTCGATGTCAAAAATTAACTATTCAGCTAGTAGTTGACAATATGAATGCCTCAAAAATATGAAATATTTAGTAATTAGGTATCTTCGAAAGAACTTTTTATTTGTTTGACCTTTGAGATGCATGTAGATATATGATTCAACGGCAATCTTTAGTAAACAAGATATTTTATATTAGCTATTCATAAAGTTTTTCTTTTTATTTTAACGAACAATTTTTCTCATATGAGAGAATCATCCGAACTGATACGTATCGTCTGTAGACTTCTGCGTGACCACGATTTTTCAGTCACGTCACGTCACGGTCACGTTCATAGTCACGAAGATTTTTCGAAACTAGTCACGTTCACGGAAATTTTGGATTACTAGCTGAATTTTTGTGCTACAAAATCAAGATTTAAATTGATTTCGTAGATTTCCCCTATAATAAAACAAAGAAAACCCGTAAATGAATTAATACCTTGATTTTTTTTCACAAAAATCAGACTTTTAGTATCAAAATTTTTCACTATTAAGTCACGATCACGAGCTATTTGGTCATGGTCACAAGACACCGTGACCGGGACCATGACCATTTTGCAGAAGTCTAATCGTCTGAGATGATATTCAAGCCAAAAGGATATCTTGGTGGGACTATTAAAACCCTAAAATGATTCATTTCGATGAGTCTTTCGAGTCAAGTTATGATCGTTTCACTGAATTTAAAGTTTATACTGAAAAATCAAGGACACAGAATTTCGAAGTCAAATTTTGCTCATCAATAATTTGACTGACCTGTAAGAATATTCTATGATTCATTCGACTTATCGATGGGCAAAATTTTACTTCGAAAATTCTATTTCTTTGAATTTCCAATATAGACCTTAAATTCAGTAAAAAGATCATAACTCGGCTCCAAAGATTCACTAGAATGAACCATTTTACTAGTCTTACCAAGATGTCCTAAGGAGTTAAATATGAATTGAAACGGTTGGTATCAGTTCAGATTAACACACTACGGAGTCAAACTTTTTTACTCTGAGAAAAGGTAGTTGATTGCTTTATTGATGGAACTTCGACATTGATTCTAAAAAACAATTCTTCACAATCACTCCGATGGAGTCGAGTTTTGGTGTTCAATTCTGGGCTCTAGCTCGGATGGTTTCCTTATTACTTTGAAATAGGAAACTGCGGATATGTTCAGAGTCAACTTCGACTTGATAAAAATGTGGATTCACAGCTCAATTGAATTTCTGATAAGTCCAATGAAACTCGTAATAAATTCTGATAAAGGAATATAAGAAGGTAAACTATCGTAAAAAGTAGATGTTCAACTGTTATTATTGAAATGAGAAATAAAAAAATGAATTAATAAACATACTTTAACATGAACCCAATTTTGAAAGAAAAAAAGAACTAATCTTTGATAGATTGAATATAAATGATCATCACAACGACGATAAATATGAGGAGGAAAGACAAATGTTATTGATCGTAATAAAAACCAAAAAGTAAAAAAAGTTGGTGCTGTACCAAATAGTGTTACTATTGGAAGAGCAAATCGTAATGAATTTATTGTAAGAAGAAATACTGATAACATTGATTCGTTTTTTTTTTATCTAAAAAAAACAACAAAGAATTATTCAAGATGAAAAAATTGTTTAATAGAAAATTTTTTTTCTAATTCTTTTAAATGTTGTTTTAAATGTAATGACATTCTTATTTGTCTTGTTCGACGTCTTTTCTTTTTTGATAAATTCTTATTATTATTTGAAATTGATTGATTTATTAAAGTTTTTATTTTCTTTTTTTTAATTGATAATGGATTAATTCCATGTTTTTTCTTTTTCTTTTTTTTAATATCATTTTCATTTTCATCAAGATTAAGTTCATGTTTGATTTTTTTTAAAACATTTGATTCATGTTTACTTAAATTAATTTGTTCATTTTTTCTTTCTTCAACTATTTCACGAGAATTTATTGATGGACGTTCTAAATTAATAGCATTATGTCTTATCAACATTGTTGGTAAATCTGGACGATTAATACGACTGAATTCACGTAATGATAATGACTATATATTCAAAAAAATTAATTTTTTTTTTTTATTAAATAAAAATAATAAAAATAATTAAAAATACTTGTGATGCAAGAAAATATTTTTTAGTTTTATCTTTGATTAAAATTTTTTGAAAACATTTTTCAGCTGATATTGATGGATAATGATCACATTTTATTATATCATATTGTTTTAATATTAACATTGCACCATATGCAATTCCACCTAAATTTTTATTTTATTTCATTTTATTATCTTTTTTTTTTCTATTAAATTAAATTCTCAACTACCCCAAATTTGATCGAGTTAACAACAAATCTATCGATTATTTTACTACGAGAATAAAACAAACACAGAAACATTTGTTTTTTATTGTTAGACCTCCTTTTAATATATTATATCTTTTATAATAGAGAAGATCATATTTAGCATTAATATCATTGATATAACTAGAAAAAGAGCTGTTGGACAAGTTCAGATTGATGATTATATCTCTACAAGGGTGACTCAAACTCTTCTAGGTAGGAGGGTGAATCTCCTCTAATCACACTACTAATTCATATTGAACTAAATACATCAAAAGTTTAAATCGAATTTATTCTATTTGATATGACTCAGATAGTGTCAACACTAGTAATAGAGAACAAAGACGAGAGAATGAATCTCTGCGAGTCTTTAAAAATATTTGGACTGATTCTTCTCAACTCAAAATCAAACAGATCTTCATCATAAGGAAAATGTACGTATTTTCAAGAGGATCTTGAGTCTTCCTAAAAGATTTTTTCGGTTTCACTATGAATTGACATTGAAACAAAACATCTTGGATCAAGATTTCAATTTCGAAGTTGACAAACCTAACCTGATCTTTTCTTTTTTGTCTAAATGGAATAGAAAGAAAGATTTGCGTATTTATCTGACATAGATCAATCTTATTTGTCTTGTCTTATAGAATAAAAGAGAAAAAAATGTCTAATATAATTATCTTAGAATCTATTTGAAAGATATCGAACAATTTAATAATAAAAATAAATATCATTAAATAAGTCTGAAGAAATCATTTATCATTTTCTGATCGTGAAAATCCACAATGAAATTCTTTTCTCTTTGTGATCATGGCTACTTCACCATAATTCTATTTTTCAATAAAGTAGATCTTCAACTCTTTTTTCGAAAGTTAAAAGAAAATGTTGACGTACTTCTTCAACTACATACTTTCTTTATACAAGATACAAATTGTTTTCAGAATCGTATTAACTTAATATACTACAAAATGCATGTTGAAAGTAATAAGTATTAACTATGTTTCATCTGAATAAGATAAATATAATCTTCCCTCTTCTCATTATTGTTAACTTCCAAATGAAGATCTTATAAAGATTATTGAGCCTACCTCAAACTCAAAACGTTCTGCCACCGATGTATATCAACATCTTTATTTTATTTTCTTAATATTGACTATATGAAGAATTTTTATAAAAGAGAAAGAGAGATAGATTATTAAATGTCTATAAGATTTAATCATTTTTTTTTTATAAAAATAATCCAAAAAGAAATAGTTTGTCGTTAGGGATATTATCTTATTATTCTGATATAAAAACTATTAATTATTATTTATATTTGTCTCTTATGATAAATATAATTAAAAAAAAGTCGATTAATATTACCTAATAATTCAGTTTCTTTAATTGCACATAAAGTAGTTGAACAAATAATTAGTTGAGTTTCTAAATAAGCTTTTAATTGTTGATCAATTTGAATTTTCCATTGAAGTGCTTCAAATGCAAATGTTCCATCAATTAATATTATAAATGGAGGTTCAATATTAAAATGTGTTCGATAATAATTAAGTAAACGACGAATATATTTATGACGTGACAATTTCATCTAAAAGATTTTTCTTTTTATTATAAGGAAAAAAAATGAATAAATGAACTATTTATTATCATTAATAAAGAATGAAAAACAAAAAAAAAAAAGATTCTAAATGCACGGAATGTTCATGATAAATAAAAGAATAAAAATAGTTTCACTGGTCTGTTTTTTGACGTTTACGTAAAATGACAAGTATTGGATAATGAAGATCACTCGAATAATGTTTATTTATTTGTTGGGCCTAAATTCATTTTTATATAAATATCAGTTAAACAATGAAAAAAGTAAATATTTAATCTACTTGTAAATGTTTATTGAAAACATCTTCATCATAATGATCGAAAACACTACATTCAAATGAATATCTTTCAGCTATTGAAACAAATCTATTTAAACTTTTTGAACGATATGGAGCAAAATTTATTGCCACACCCTTAAAAAAAGAAAAAGAAAAGATTGAAAAGAATTAATAAAGAAAAAATTTGTACCGAATCTTTTAACATATAATAAATAGTGTGACACAAATCATGATGAAGATCTTCGAAAAAGAAACTAAAAGAATAAACTAAAGACAAGAAATAAAAATTTTAATAAAATTTACCAATCAGCTGAAATAATAAAATCAAATCGTTGTTTTAAATTGGGATCATTTAATTGTCGTGTCCATATAAGTACTCGTGATTCTATTGGACATAACCAATTAACTTGATTATTTTTTGATCTTAAAATCGCATTTAAATCTTAATAAAAATGAAAGAATTTTTACAAAAAGAAAAAAACAAAGTAAAAATGATAAATAAATACTAGCAATGCTTTTTTCATTACCATCTGTGGCAACAAACTCATTGAGCGAAATCGATCGAGCCAACTGAGATAAATTAACATGCAAAAACAAGTTTATTTATCATGCCAAACAATATTATTTTTATTAAATAATTTTCATTCAAAAAAATAAAAATAAAAAAAAAAGCAAAGTAAATACTTACAGCAAGTCCAGCTAAACATGTCATTCCACCACCAAGTTCACAAACACTTTTATTTCTAAATATTTTCTTTTTTTCACTTTATTTATTTCGATTAAATTAAATAATTTTACTCGAAAATTTCTTTTCCTTTTAAACAATAAAAAGCAAGAACTTCTTCAGATGGCCATATACCTTCAAATTAAATTATTAGAAATAAAAACAATTATTTTTAAAAATTGAATATTGGTACATACAAGTATTTCCTGTATTATTAAAACCAATTAGATCTGCATAATCAATTTTTGTTGAACATAATCTTTAAACAAAAATCAATGTTTAGGAGTTTTCATTTTTTTAAAAATAAAACAAACCGAATATCTAATGAAATAATATTTGATTGATTATCTTCAAATGAAGGAAATTCCAAAAGACACCATGTACCATCATCTTCATCAGTTGATTTTAATGAACTTCTTACATATAAACCAAATGTTTTAAAACGCATTACAGATATATCATCATGTTCAAATGATGTTTGAAGATTTTTACTTAGAAGAATCTATTTTTTATTTTACAAATTAATTATTTTTTTATTTTTAATAAAACAAACCTCGCCAAGCATACGCCATCGTTGTCGAGCTAATGTTGTCATTTTTCTTATTTTAAAACTGTTGTTTTATTTCACATCTGACTAACTATAACATTGATTCGATTCTTTCTTTGATTTACAAGAATAAAAAATCGATTCAATTATTCGACTAATTTTTACCAATCAAAATAATAATCATTATCCTTACCTCGTTTTTATTCTATTAATATTATTTTTTTTTCAAATCTGATTTGTTATTTTTAATGAAATAGACATGAAAATATTTTTTTTATTATATACATGAAAAGTTCAAGATGATGGCGCCATCTATTGATCATCACTAGTTCAAAAACAACGGTACATCTTCTCTCTTATAAACATTATTCGGGCAAGATAGCAATTTACGGCTCGTCAATGAAAAATCAATAGAGATTAATAGAAATCATGGGAAGAGTTTACAGACTAGGAGAAGAAAGGATGGAAATGAGAGATGCTTTTCAACTTGTCACTGATGAACAAATCGATATTCAACATCTCATCCCTAATCTCTTCAATGAAAACACAGAAGCCGAACAAATCGAAGAAGGAAGTCAACCCGATGCAGAAGCAATTCAATATGAAGAAGATTTAGATTTTGAACTTTAATTATTATTATTAACTTTATTATTATGAAGATGATCATTTCAATCACTACTAACAACATTAACTTTATTTTTACCTTAGTTTTTACTAACTTTTTTGACTATTAAAACTTTTCCAAAAATAAAACTTTTTATAAAATATCAATAATAAATGTCTCTTATTTTTATTCTACAATATCAAAGAGTATTATGTTCTTCTTCTCCGACCTTCATTACACATTCCTAGTAACTTTCTTACCAACGGACTGTAAAGTACAATCTTGCTTCTACTTTATGGAAGGTGTTTACGTACCACAGAGATGTTCATGGCGACACCGGCAGCGGTAAGTTTTTCAAAAAATTATCATGGTAGCGGCAGGTTTTTCAAAAAGCCATCGTGGCAGCGGCAGGATTTTTTTCGAGGACATTGAAAAACTGCATGAATTCAATAGAATTTCAGGATTTACAAATGAAATACCTAGAGATTGAATGAATCTGATGGATTAGTACCAATATTTATGGTCAAATGTAGACGCAGCAGTACGGCAGCTTTGTTTTTCTAAGACCGTGACGCGAGATTTTCAGCCGCGATGGACATCTCTGATGTATTAATACAAGAATATTTGTTGTTTGAAGTCTCAAATCAATATTAAACTTTCTTTTCAATTTTAATATTTGAAGTATTTATTCAAGTATATAGATCGATATATATATTCTTATAGAATCTCATAAGAAAAGTTTGTCACTTTGTTTTATTCTAACTTCGTAACGTCTAGAGATGTGCACGATCAGTACACACGGAAAAGATAAGTTAACAACACCGGATTCAAAAAAAACTTAGTTTCACACATATGTAGTAACTTCACTCTATGAAAATATCGGAATGTGTATGAATTTAAAACGACGATATATATACATATAGAATTATCCTAACTAACTGACGATGCATATGTATTCGCAGAAAATGTCAAGGTCTATTGTGTTTAAATAGAAAGTGCTAGAAACCTTATTTTTTCTGGGAGTTAGACTTTACGAAAAGATATTTTCTAATTTTCTGCGTTTTCATAATGACCAGTAATTAGCATTTAAAACGAAACAAGTAGATTTCATGATTTTTGGAAAAAATTTCGAGCATTTATAGCCTCATCAATTTCTGAATGTAGCTTTTTCAAGTCCTATAAGATCTGTATGAAACATAAGAAAAAGACATTGTATTAAGCTGACGAATGATGGAACACAAAACAGGATCTGGCGCAGATTTTCTCATAACTAGACGCTTTTATAACGCGACAGGGTCAAATGTATTTGACTTTAATGTCTTTGGAATTAAACCTACGAAGCTGGTCAAACTTTATATTTCATTGAACACCATTAAAATTAACACAAAGGTGAATATAGACGAATCTCCAATTTTATCCTGATTACGAGCAAATTTTTAGTGGTTTTCAAATATTAAAAATTTTAAGTCTTTAATTACACTCGGATTTTTTTCTAAAAATATTCATTTTAAAGTATAGACTTTCCTCTATTTGTGGATGGAAAAAGTAGGTTGATAACACTTTCCACACCTCGACATTTGTGCGGATACATATACATCTTAGATTACATAGAAACATTTTTTCGACATAGGTTTCCGCTAACAAGGAAACTAATTGAGTTGTAATTCGTCGTTTGAACTCATGTTGAGCCTCAGTAAGACAAGAAAATGTTTTGCTCATACATAGATCTAATGATCCGAGGAATATTCTTTAAGTTTTAGCCGAAAACAATATCTATTTGTTAGAAATTTAATATCTCGACAAATAAATATTCTTTTCGGCTAAAACTTTCATGATATTGTAAGGATCATTAGGCCTATCTATGGACTGAGATTCCATTATTTGACTTTTCAGTTAGTACGTAAAAAACGAATTGAAAATTCAGGGAAATGGTTATAACTTAGCTTCAGAGACTCATGGGCACAAATCCTTTAAGGATTTTTCTTGTCTCATCAAGACTTCGTTGTGCATAGAATATAAATTGAAACGGCAGATTACAGTAGGAATACTCCCCTCATAAGAAGATATAGGTGCAAGAGGCAATTTGGTCGATATATCGATATTCTTCTTGATCACTCGATTTTTTTCCGATAAAATCAAAGTTTTCAATTGTGATCTGAACCTTTGTTCACATGAAAGTCTCAGTCAAACTAGTTTATCTATAGAGTTTGACAATATCCAGAGAAATATGTTTTCTATAGATATTGTGTTACACATGGTTACTTTAGAAAATTCCCATCTCAAAGATAATTTGTTCGAATATTTTCAAGAAAAATAGTTTCATTGAAGTACTCATATGGAGAATTCTTTAGGTAACACAATTTGAAAGTTTGATTTTATCGAAAAAGTGAAATGCTGCACGAAAATTCTAGTAAAAAGTCAATATCTCAACTAAACTCTAAGTTGCGTCCATATCTTCCTAGAATTTTCTGCTCTATTTGAGAGTAAAATTTATGCTCGAAGACTTTCTATCGCCTGAAAAAAGTTTCTTCAGAAAATAAAAAAATCTCGAATGATTATAAAGAAAAATTCTATCATAAAAAATAAAAAATCATGTAAAATTTCTTAGTTACATTGATTCATTCTCGAAATATTCTTATGAAAATTCCAAAATGATTCTCTGTCATGTGTTAAACATATTTCCTATAATGTCATATATCCATTGGAACTATAGAAAAATAATCATTTCATTTTACTTTATAATTCAAATTCTACTTTTGTTTTATTATATTTCAAATTTTGTCTTGGGAAATATCTTATAAAATAATTAGATTTTACAATAGAATATTTTCTTGTTGAAAAGAATTTCTTCTGACAAAGTTAAAATCAATGTAATAAATAGATAAAAAGTCGCTTATGTTGATTATTGATTGTTCATAGGATATTTAATAGTGAAAGTGAATATGAAAACTATTCATTTGTTACCATTTCTATCTTGTATTATTCTATTTCTATCAAACATACTCTAGATAATCAATAATCAAACTAATTGGCTTCTCATCTATTAATTATACGTGTTTATTCATGTTTTTTGTAATTATTTTAGGGCATGTCCAGCCATCGGTCATCCTCGTATGAAGAGGATTCAAAATCACAAAATGAAAGATATTTATTGACTGTTTTCACCAGAGAACATAGTTTTGTACATAGTTCTATTGGAATTTTTGCTTGAAAAAAATAGATCGAAGTTCTAATATGATTTTGTTGTGAGAGTAAAACTGACATATTCGAAGGATAGAATTTTCTTTATACTGATTATGAATTAGAAAGAAGATCAATTTTTATTATGACAATTTGAAATGTTAAATTCATTAAACCTTTCCGATTAAAACGTTAGAAAAAAAACAACGAAATTCCATGATAGACAGGATTTTTACTTTTTCATTCAATCCAGTTACGTTTATTAATAAATGATCTGATTTTGTGAACAACTTTTATATAGAAGATTTATTTTTATGTCTCCTCGTTTCGTAGTAAAATATAAATCCCTCATCTCATCTTAAAAATGAATTCTATTTTTTGAAATTCCGTGACGGTCGATATCCTTCGGATAAAGGAAAATCAATGAAATATTGACTGATGAAAGATCTAAATAGTCTGTATCTATAGTGGAAAGTTTCAACGAATTTGCATTGATTATTAATGAGATGTAGATGTCGCAAGAGAAAAAAAATGAAATTCTGTGATAGTTGGTAATGTTCTTTGAAAGATAGAAATCTATTTAAATAATAAAAAGAATAAATTTGTGATTATATATTGATATAATTTGTCTTATAGGATAAATATTCAAATAATTTGAAGTAGTGAATTATGTTATTTGATATAATAAAGAAATATATTTTAATTATAAATAAAGTCAATGTTGATTATAAATGAGATTATTGAAATTCTTTCTCAAAATAAAATATTTATTGAAATAATCAATTAATTAAAAAAAAACAAGGGTAAATAAGAACTATTTCTATAATCAAAAGACAGGTAAAATATTTCGATAATTTGACCTTTGTTATGAAAACAAAGAAAAGTCCCGAGAAAAAAAACGCGGAATAAAAAAGTAGTCGACTCGTTTTTGAATACAAGGTCAGGTAATATCTATTGTGAATTAAATGAAAAGGTATGATTGGTAATTATATGCAAGTTATTATAAAAGAAGAAGTGACAAGTTTTCTTAACCAATAAGCATATTCATTGATTGTTAATAGACATAAACATGTTTTTCATATAATACTTTCCCTATAACAAAATTTTTTTTCTTTTCTATCATAATGCCTTTTTTTGTTGTTGTTCTTTTCAAGTTAATATTAATGATTCTCTTGCCTTTTTCTTTTGTCTTTATATCAATAAAAATAAAGTTCAATGAAATATTTATTTTTTTTTCATTTATAAATAATAAATAATTAAACAT